TATATATGTATAGAAACAAGTTAGTTTTAAAGTGAAAAAAAATCTTTTTTTTTTCGAACTTAACTTAGTAATTAAATAAATTAGTTTATACATATAAACAGCTTGCTGATAGTTGCTGTTATATTTAATTACATTCCTCTTCTTTTACATTGGTTTTTAATAAATTACTAAAACAATTAAGAAGTAAAAAAATAAACACTGATGGCGTGTGGCATTTAAAGGGCTGCCAAAATTTCAAAGCCGTTTTATACCATTTATTATCGTCAGATCATTTCAAAACTTCTTTTCAATGTAGTAGGGATTTTTAAGGTGGTATTCTTAAAGTAAAATATTGAAAAGTCGGTAATTTTATCAGTTTGGGGGGTACCATGTTCCCTTAATTAAATAGATCTATACGCAGATAAACTTGCAAATGCAATAACTTACTAGCGATTCAACCTGGGAAACGTGCATGGTTAAAACAGTGCAGAAGAAGCAAACACACACGCTAAACCTGACAACATCCGTGAAAGCTCTTCGAAACAAAGATTGGGGAATCATGGCCTGCCGGTTCATTTTGAATAATTCTTGTCCACAGTGATAAAGAAATGAAAATATTTGACCATAGATTAGATTATTAAGTGAATTATGTTTGGCACAACTGAAAACGTTCTCCAAGATAAATTATTTCCCCAAATTTTACAAAATATAATATTTAGGCGTAATTTGAGTCGAAATAATAACTATGGAAAAATATTAGTATATCATTCCAGAATAAGTCGGATTTTGTGTCAAAAAATTGATGTTAGAACAATGTTGTATGTATATCTAATATATGTCCCAAGTCGCGCTTTTGAGACATCAAAAACGCAAATTAAATTTCGTCAGTGGGCCCTATAGAACGGGAGATGTAGAACTGTCTCCTTTTTTATTTGTTTCCCATCCAGTACATATACAGGAAACTGCAAATTAACAGTACGTATCTAAGGCTCATATGAAAATCGCAACTTCGTACTTATGCAACATATATCAATCAGCAGTTTTGACACTTTGGACTGCGTATGCAATAGTGTTGTTTGAAGTATGAAATGAGAATTCTCCAAAAGATCTGAATTGACAACGCTCGAACCAACTGAGTGACTTCTAGTGTTCGAAGCGATGCTCGAAAATAAGAATTCTGACAGCGATTCCAACCTACCATCAGTTACTGGCATGTGAGCACTAACTAGTCTAGCATGTAAATATCAAAACAAAGAGTTCAGCTTGTATTGCTTACCTTAGTTCAATTAACATATTATTAAAATGTTTTTTGTCTTTCCAGAACTCCTCAACTTTCCCTCGCAATTCCTCGCCAGGATCTAAATGTAAAGTTAGTATTTAAACGGGTGAATCCTGGAGTTTATTCAGAGCGCCTTTTGGCTAGTCGGCGCAGTTTTCGTTTTTGCCCTTGCTGTTACGCAGAGTTGCCGACACGCTCTTTTAAACATCTGAACAATTAACACGCCGGGCAGGCCAGGTCATATGAATGTATTGTAAAGTCACTAGGTTTTTTTTTTCATGTGGGAGATGTGAAAAATAAGAAATGTTACACCCCAAAGGCATGCTGGAAGGAGGAGAAAAATACTTTTTAATGAAATATAAACTAAACAAAATTAAAATGAATTTATTATAGTTAGTATTCTAAGTATATTTTATTATAAGATCCTATTTCATTTACGAATGAGGAATATAATAATAAAGAATCTGAGCAATAGGTTTTTTTTTTTTTTTTTTTTTTTTTTTATATCGAGTGCTCTTTCAGGATTTTATTAATATTAGTTAATTAATACATTGGAAATTTAGGTTTGGATTTGAATGGAATAACTCATTTTATTCTTTATTCAACTATAACATTGAAACAAGAATTTTCATTTAATTTACTGATGATTATAATATTAAAAATACAATATTTTGTTTTCCATTTTTCTTTAAAGCTTGACAGATATTAAGACTAGAAAAAATTAAATTTACTTTTTTATCTTTAATTAATCTACTACGAAAACTTCAGAAAAGACAATTAAAAAATCTCTTTGCTAAACTATTGAAACGAGACATAGCGAATAAGGTACGAAAATAACAATTTCCAAGCTTACGTTGTGTTATCTTCCGAGAAGCAAACTGTTGTAACTTTGAATGCTAGTTTTTAGAATTAATAAAAAAAAAAATAAAATAAATAAATAAATAATAAAAAATAAAAAAATAAAAAAAAAAATAGATAGCTCTCAACTTCAAAGAAAAAGGAGTCTGTTGCTTTCTGCATTCAAACCCTTTTATCGAATGTCGTAAAGATTTACTATTTTTCATCTGAGCAAATGTTAAATATTTTAGAATTGGCACACCATTTTGAAATAAAAAATAAAGCAGGTCGTACTAATCTTATTTCCTTTATAAATATCTCAAATAGAAAACCTTTTAAGAAAGTCCATAAGGAATATTATTTTTAATACGAATTTCAACAGAAAATACATGTATTCGCTTTAAACTACACATTTATGAACACAAAGTGGACCAGAAAATCCGTTTACTCACTTTACATTTATTCGCAATACACATTTCTTTAATGCAAAGGGATATGTAGTATAAAGCGAATAAACTGATTTTCTGTTTTGATGTCAGAGTATAATAGAATTAATACCCAGACATGACATCATCATAGTCAAAATTATATTCTGTTATGAAATTTCGCTGCGTGTAATTTTACAGCGTGAATTGATAGCAGAGTGACGCAATGATAAAGCGGTTTGTAACGCATAATTTTTAATTACTCGTGTTTCCTATGCCAAGAGTTGGCGATTTCATGCGCTGATCGAAGATGATTCAGAAATACTGAACCAAGGAACTTAAACGTTTTCTGTACTAACCATGAGAGATGAGAAATTATGGCAATGAACATGCAGTCGCGAAGAACAGTTATTTGAACATTTTGAAGAACTGCAGTCGCAAAGAGCTGTTCCTTGGTTAAATAATGAACCAAAAAACTTAAACATTTTCCGCACTAGCCATGAGAGACATGAGAAATTATGGCAATGAACATGCAGTCGCGAAGAACTTTTCACGCATTATAATAACCGTATAACTATTCAGAATTTACTCATTGCTTTCATTAATGTTGGCCGAGGACTGACGTGATGCAAAATGCCCAAAACTTATACTCTATATCAGTGAAAATGATATTATTGTCAGATAACTCGATGCTCGCCACCGACCAGTCATATGATAGTGTCTAGATGTTACAAATTATAAAGGGTTTCGGGTTCATTACGTATTGCCCAAGCGTACTATTGTTGTCAGCTTATGGGTTTTGGCAACGTTCACCCAGTAACATTACCAATGCATTTTAACGGCTAATGCTTATATATTCATGCAGCTAACGCATTCATGTAATGTCATCCAGACCCCTGCTTGTTCATGCGACTTCACAGAGAAGCAAATTCATTCGCGAGGCAGGCCTCCTGAGACTTAAAGGAGCTGCTGGTGCTAGACAGCGGAGGGTGTGGGACATATACCTGCTTACCTTTGTTAGACACCAGGCGTCTCCGTTCTCCATCACCTGTTACCTGTCAGCCTATGAGAAAGGTCACCTTCGAAGGAAATATTTCTAAGGTAAACAAAATCATTATTCACGTTTCATCTCGACAAAACTGCGAAACATCTCATGCCCAGCCATCCATTTGCCAGGATTTAAGCCCAGGACAAATTATAACGGCTCTTGGTCTTATTCACTCGTCCTCTTGTGATTAATAACAAAGAACGGTACTTTTTAGATTCTGCCCTCCGAACCAATGATGATTGAGGTGGCTTGCTGGCCATATTCAGGGACTAAATCTATTTAATTTGACCTGCTTTTTAAGCTTTCCTCCTAGATCACACTAAAGAGCTGATTTCATACTTCAGCCATTTTTTTTTCATTATTTTTAACAAGTAGCTACGTGACCAGTTTTTGTCTGGCTATTAAATGTACCGGAAAAATGCCTGAAGGGAACACCAAACGTTAAATTGAAAAACTGCGCAGAATTTTACTCTGCAGAACAACTTCATAAAAAAAAAAAAAAACTTCGAGGTGCCCTGGCTCATGTCTAGATCTACCTATGTACCAAAGTTCGTACCCTGGGTCTATTAGCTTACGCGCAAGCACGAACGAAAGACACACAACTCTTTCTTTTATTATACATAGAAATTAGTTCGTCTTCTGATGGGATTTCTTTTAACCCAACCAAAAGCAATATGATGCTCAGTTGAGGCTGGAGTTAAAGTTGAACCTTCCAGTATATGGATGCAATAAAAAACAGAAAAGTGTACATATACAATGTATGTTACACATGTTGTTGAGAATCATAAACTTTCAGATAATCCTTCCTTTAGGTACAATAGAAATCAGCATTAAAATGATGTAAGAATACTTCAACCATACTAAAATCTGGATATAGTTAAAAGACCTATATTACTAAAAACTGGATATACTTAAAAGAATGTTTTCTATTCAATTCAGTACATTTGATAATATAATAAATTTTTAGTTGCATTGCATTTTAGCCTAGCAGGAACTTTTTGTGAGTATTTACTAGTGACATTTCTGCAATAATGTAGCATTTTACCGATAAGCACATTTTAACTCAAGAGCCAAATTTTTATTAAATTAAAACATTTAAAATTTAAAAGCGTTGTGCTTTTTCCCCATCATTGCTCTTTTTCTGAAAGCGCACAAAATTAATCGTAATTTCAGATTTCCATACCGCTACATAATATAAAAGATTTCAAAATTTAAATTGTTGTGTTCTTTTTATTAGGGGAATTTTAGTTACCATACAATGTATAAAAATTTGCATCGTATAAAATGTGCTTGAAATTTAAAGTTGAGGATCCTTTTGCCATTTCCTTTTTCCGTTATATTAATATCTAAGGCAATTTTTTTTTTTGCTTGAAACTGCAACAGTAAATAACACTTCATTTGTACTTAAAAAAAAATTTATTTTTTAGGTGGCCTGTTTGAGACAAATGACGAGCAATTAGAGCTTGCTTTCATTAAAGCCATTGAAATGATTAATACAGATGAAGCTAGGCTGCCAGGCAGGAAGTTGCAAGCCAGAGTTAAACATATAGCTCCTCAAGACAGCTTTCGTGCTCTTAAAACAGGTACCGTATAACTTTATTTTATAATTTATCACACATTACTTTTCGAAATAAGCTAAGTGTGGAATTTAGTTTTCATTTGCGGCCGCTCAGTGGGAAAGTGGTTAGTGACTCTGACTGCCGTACCGAAGAGTTCCAGTTCCAATGCCGGAGAAGCCATGGATGTAAATAGTTTGTCCCTTCATAAAAGTTAACGTTGACCGCCTATTAGGTGACTCCGTAATTAAAATGACCGACATTTCTGGCCTTAGTGGCAAAAGTATAAAATGGATAGTGTCCGCCTTTAGAAAATAAAGCTTTTTATTGCATCGCTGTAAGCATAATACGGAGGAAGACGAGAAATAAATTACATTACCTTTCTTCATAAAGGGTTTATAGACCAAACAAACATACGTAAAATCAAATTATATGCCTATTTTACAACAAAAGAATAAATTTTGGAAAAATTCCTTTCTCAGTTTCAATGCACAATTTTCATCAAAGTGCTCTAACTATAGATTCACCCACAGATTTTGACTGTATTTTTTCATCATTCGAAACTTTAAGACAGTTAAACAAATAAAAATCTAGACTGTTTCAGATTATAACGTTTGCCCACAAGGGCGTTTTTTTAAAGTTTATATGGTTTATAGCTAGGCTTGCCATACGTCCCGGTTTCACCGGGACAGTCCAGACAAAATCCCGGTGTCCCAGCCGGTGTACTTCTCGTCCCGGTAAAAATTAAATTTGATTTTATAGATGATAAAAAAGTCTAAAAATAATTAACTGTGAAATATTATTTAGGATAATTACTTTGTCAGTTATCTCTATACTGTATGAAAGGTGAAAACTATAGAAGAGTGATGATCTGACAATAAATAATATTGTCATCGTATCGTCTTGTCTCGCCAATCGTGACCATGCGCGATTCGAGAGGCTTTCCGGGCAAGTCCAATATTCAGAGTCCAATTTTACAGTAAAATTAATATCGGATTAGCTTGTGAAGATTTTTACACGAAGATTAAAACCCAAAAAGTCTCTAAAAATAGTCCTAGAAAATGAAATGTTCATGTAAATATTAATCAATTTTTTTATTTCTCATTTGAAGTGTTTCTTCTTACTTCAGTAAATTATATTAGCATGTAAGAAATAAAATGTTTAAATTTATATGCATGTGTCATTAAGTAACCATTTATTCATAACATTAAGAATAAACGACCCTCTAAAACACTCTAAAAAACCGCCAAGGGTTGAAGAATGTGTACCCTTCAATACCCGCGTTTGCTGGGGGGCAATCCGGTGTCCCGGTTCAACATTTCTCAAATCTGGCAAACTTATTTATAGCATAGGTTATCAACAGAGATAGCTCAAGTGGAACACGAAGCATTTCATAAGGTACTATATGGATGTACATTTTTACAGGACTCCAGATTTCTGATGAAAGATTTATAAGCGGAAAGGTCGTCATTTCAAGTCGAATGAAGTTTGCAGTTATCTTCTTTGAGAACATTGAAGTCTGTGGGCATTCATGTTAAGTTGGACCTCCTTGCGTGCAGAAGGTCAGTATCCCTGAGGAAATTTTCCTCAACAGATGAATTGAGAATGTGTAGCGGCTTTGATGAAGAAGGATTCCTGAACTTCTTTTACGTTCGTTTCGGCTTATAATATAGAGACGAAACCTCATTGGAATCTTTTCCTGCCTTGAGTTGATTTTTTTGTTTTTGTATATTTTTCTATATCACTGTGTGTTCTCAAAATTACTGTACTTAACTGATTTAAGTATTTGTGAAAAGGACTATTACGTTAAATTTATTGTCGGTCACTTAAAATACACGATTTTAAATATTTATATATGTAATGTGAAATAAGCGATTATAGTGAAGTTTTAGTGCAGAAAGATAAATTGTTCAATATTTCAAATGTGAACTATTAATTAATGATTTGTATTATTCATATACGTAATGAAGAGCAAACGATCATACTAAATTTTCCTTTTAGTTCAGAAAGACAAATGTGAATTATTAATTAATGGTTTGTGTTTTTTATATACGTAATGAGGAATAAGCGATCGGACTGAAGTTTTCTTTTAGTGCAAAAATACAAATTGTTCATTATTCCCAAACGTGAATTATTAATTAATGATTTGTATTATCCATATACGTAATGACAGATAAGCTATTATATTGAAGTTCCCTTTTAATTCAAAATTTAAATTGTTCATTATTCCAAATATGAATTATTTATTAATGCATATGCATATACCCACTCTGTTAACCGGCTCGATGAGCTCGAAATTTTTATTCTTATTATGTTAGTAAATTGAGGATTTTTTGCTTTAAAAGTGATTGAACTATTTTGTTCTTATGTCTAGGTCCTTTAGTTAATCTGCATGCAATACGTGTAGAAGCATCAACAGTTTAAAAGTTTTTTATGTTCAACTAAGCCTAACGACGCCGCCATTTGCTTACATCCGAAACTTCCAGCATAGTGAATTAGCTCAGATTCTGCACCAACTTCAGTGTCTTTTTACCAAGTGAATTCAAAAGTTTGCTCCCCGAAAAATGTGTCTTTCTGCTTGATTTTAACTAATTTATATTCTAATTTAAATTTTAAAAATTGTTTTATTAACGGATTTCAAATCTATTTTGTGCTTTATGCTTTTGTGTATTTTACAGTTTTTGATAAAGACGTGTTGAGTTTTTATGTACTTTTGCCTTGCCGCGAAGTTAAACTGAACCGATTGAATGAGAAATATATCTCTAATGCAATACGAAGAAATATGTTTAAATGAGATGCAGCAAAAAATGTGCATTATTAAGTAGGCCGTGCAAGGAAGTCATGCGGTGGCCACATCATATTTTTTTCTAAAAGCAGAGATTCTCTTCAGATTACTATCACTTTTCGTAAAACTAAAAATATACAAAGAAGGGGAGGGAACTACTTGTGCATGTATTTAATGCATCCTGAACTCAAAGCATGTCAATGGAACAGACAGATTCTTACTAGTTGCACTATTAAAACGACTTTCATATTTTTTCAGTTTCCTTTCATAAATCGTATGATAGCCTCTTTTTTTAGCCCAAAGGACGTTAGCCCAGAAGGGCTATTTATTAATTTCGTTTTGGCATTTTGTGGCGTTTCACTTTTCAAATTGTTTCCACCAAATATAATCGCCTTGTATTACATTTAAAGAAATTAAATAACAAAGAATCTACATAAATGTATGTATGTTTCTTGTATTATTGTAAAATAACGGTACCTAGAGCCATCAAAGTTTGAATAACGTACGTCTCCTCCTGAATATAGGCTTCCGGAAGCCCAAATTTTGAATTTGTTTTATTATCTATTTCACATCATGAGTTTTTGATTAAGAAACTCAAAGATTTCAAAGCGAGCAATGGCATCATTGCACGAAAAAAAAAAAAATATCTCCACGCAAGAGACTGCGTATCGGAAATACTAAAGATATGCTCTTTTTAAATTAGTTTGCGATATTGCTCTTGAATTGAATTTTATGGTTAAGTCCGAAGAACATGATATTTAATAAAAAAAAAAAAGGTAACGCACAAAAGTAAAAAAAAAGCTCTTTTCTGCATAATTATACAATCTGAATTTTTTTTTAATGCTTCGTTTTTAAATACATTACTAATCTCAACTGAATGCGAATCTATGCTAATTGAAATTCAGTTTCCATTATGCAGAGAAGTATTAAACACTAATCTTCATATACAGAAATAAACAGAATCGTTTATACTCATCAGTTACGTAACGAGAAAGAGGCTGTGAAACAACCTTCAATGAAATGCAAAGCAATCGCTACTAAAGAAAGTTCTTCAAAAGTGCAGAAAATTTTGGCACAGAAGCAAAGTTTTATTCTGGTCCTTTCTTTCGAATTGTCAAAGAAAAGCACGGGATGGCTTGTTTCTTTTGCTCTTAAAGAGAAGGGAAACTGACGTCTATTTATCATCTGAATCCTGCAAATGGTTCCACCAGATCTAATTGTGGCCACATGCCTTTTGACTCTAAAATAGTATCGCGCATTTCTTTCTCAGCATTCGATGAAATCATTTATATAACTTTTTTGTCTTACGAGTTACATTTTTCTTTGTGGTTTTCATCTCTTACCGTTTACTGTAAGCAATAAATATTCTTGACAATGAAAGAGTATATTTGACGAACATGTATTTTTAGTCCAAAGGCATTTATGTCACGACTATTGCTTTCGTTTTGTCACTATAAATGTCGTTTCCCTTTTCCAACTGTTGCCACCAAATGTTAGAGTTCTGCATAATATTTGAAGAAATTAAATAATGAAAAATCTGCATAAAAATATGTATATTTCTCGCATTGCGATAAAACAACGGTATCTAGAGCCATCGAATTTTGAACGACGTAATCCTACTACGAATATGGGCATCTGAAATCGCAAATTTGAAATTTAGAATTTGTTTTATTATCGATCTCATAATTTCTAAACCTTTAACGAATTTTTGATTAACAAACTCAACATTTTTAAAAGCGAGCCATGGCAAGCACTCTACTGAAAGGGAACATAACCTTTTTATCTCCTATCTATATATCGGGAACTGTGTATCGGGAAATTCTAAAGATATGATCATTTTAAAAAATTATTTTGCGGCACTGCTGTTGAACTAAATTTTATGGTTTGAGTGCAAAGGACATGATATTTAATAAATAAAGGTAACACACAAAACGTTAAGAAAACGCCCCTTTGGACTTAATTTAAAATCTGAAACATTTCAGATTTTTTTTTTTTTCTTTTTTTCTTTTCTTTATTTTTCTGTTTTGAGGCGTTGTACTTTGCTGAGACCTAATGTATATATTGTGTTTAGTGATTATCTAGATGAGCTATTCTTTAGGCTCTTTAAAACAAATTTTAAAAACATTAATACCAAGCTTTATAACAAACCAATTGCAAGTGTATAGCAAATACTCCTATAAATGACTAATGAATACATATAAAAAATTATCGTGGTTTCACCAGGAATTGAAAAAGTAATTTT